TAGCAAAAAAAAAAAAAAAAAAATTGGGGGGAATGAGAAAATGAGAGACTTGATCCAGGCCTAAGTATATTTCATTTTAATTTCATAGACTTTCTATGAACATTAAAAACTTTTTCCAGGGACCAGCAGTTAGTGTAATGGCTATGTCGCTGGACTCCCATGTAGTCGACCACGGTTCAAGTCCCGGACCGGGTGGCTTAAACTCACGCAGGGCACGTGTGCGTGCGTGCCCAAGATCCTGAGAGGACAATGGAGGAGAAGGGATTGCGGTGCAGCCATCCCCCTGGGGGTGATTTCTCTCTTTCTTTCTCTCTGTCTCTCTGTCCTAATGGCAAGCGCAGGTGCCCTATAGTAAAAACCTCTCAAAAAATAAAAAAAAAAAACTAACTTTTTCCAGTAGCTAAAATGTGTTGTGGGGGGGGACCAGCAGTTAGCATAATGGCTATGTCGCTGGACTCCCCCATAGTCAACTGCAGTTCGAGTCCCGGACCCGGTGCTTAAACTCATGTTGGGCGCGTGTGCTGGTGTGCCCAAGATCCTGAGAGGAGAATGGAGGAGAAGGGATTGCGGCATGGCCATCCCCTCTGGGGGGGGTGATTTCTCGCTTTCTGTCTCTCTGTCTCTGTCTGTCTGGTGAGCGCACACACCCTATAGCAAAAACTTCTCAAAAAAAAAATTGAAAAAAATAAATAAATAAAATGTGTTGTGTGCACAAAATACAGATAATTAGGAAACAAATAACTGTAGAAAAGAACATTACAATCTTAATAAAGTGGTACCTTTATCTATAAAAATTATTTTCTTTTCTGCAGACATCCTCATTATGTTAAAGATAATATCAGAATTTCATGGTGGAAAATATTTTTCAAAAAACAGGTTAGGGGGACCAGCAACTACGTAATGGCTATGTCACTGGACTCCCATGTAGTTGACTGCGGTTCGCATCCCGGACACGGTGGCTTAAAATTCACGCCGGGCACATGTGCATGCGTGCCCAAGATCCTAAGAAGAGAATGGAGGAAAAGGGATTGTGGCGTGGCCATCCCCCCTGGGGGGTGATTTCTCGATTTCTGTCTCTCTGTCCCTCTGTCTGTCTGGCGAGCGCACGCACCCTATAGCAAAAACCTCTCTCCCCAAAAAAAACAGGTTAGGCAGTTTGCAGGCAGATATATTGCAGTTCACAAGGTAGAGCAATAGGTGGCACTTTACTCTTTTTTTTTTTTTTTTTAACTTTAACTAGACTACGTAGAAAGGAAATATTTCTAGTTGGCTTTTAAAGCTATTTAGTGAAGTTCTTCTAACCTTCCTCTTCCTCTGAATGGAAAATGTAAGGTTGTCATTTTGTAGTTGGTATTGCTTTCCCCATTTCATAAAAAAGGAAACATATTTACAAACAGTAACTTCCCTGTGGACACAGTAATTTAGAATTTGGCAGGCTGACTTCAGAGTGCTCTGCTACTCGCAACTAATAATATGCATCGTCTCCCTGTCAAATATTTAGATGCACATTTTTTATGTCTTTTTTTGGTATTTCTTTTGATTTTGTTGCTTATGTTGTTATAATTTAAAATGCTAGAATTTTTATAACATTTTCTTAAGTCAGCTAAGCTGATAAATTTACGTTCCAATGTGATTGAGGCCAGTAAGTGATCATTTAATAAAAAAAGTCAGCTAGAGATTGGCCCTATGGAGTACTGGTTAAGGGAACCAGATGCCACATGACCCAATTTTGTTTTGAATCCCAGCCCTTGCCGCTTAAAAATATGCCAACCATGCATGTGTGTGTTCCCAAATCCCAACAAGAAGGAGAAATGGAGGAGAAGGGATGAGAGCAGGATGGGACCCCACAGTGGGGTCTCTCTCTTGTGAATGCATGCACCCGTTGCTATTAAGTAAATACATACGTCCAGCCATGGCATGGTGGTTAATGAGACTGGATCCCACATGGCCAACCTTGCAATTCGAGTCTGGGACCTGGCAGCTTAAGAAACACAACCAAGATTCCAAAAGGAGGGAGAAATGGAGAAGGGATTATGGCATGACCACTCCTCATGGGAGGGGTGCATTCTCACTTTCTCTCTCTCTCCATCCTTCCCCACAGCCATGAGCCCACATTCTCTGACTAATTAATTAATTAATTAAATCTGAAATTTAGTTTCTCAAGTTCATAAGATCCATAAAAAGTCCATAGTTTAAAAAGTAAAATGGTATCTATAAGAATTGTGGTGAAAAATGGTTTTCTCAATCCTTCTTTTTAAATTCTGTTAGCTGTTTCTTCTGTTTACCATTTTTTCCTAAATATGTTCATATCGTTATTTCTACACTTAACTAATTTCAAGCATTTCTGTTGATTCCTGTTATGGATAAAAGAATTTCACCCTCTGATACCACCTCATTTCCTCATTTCTCTTCCTCTCCCCTTAGATACAAATATTCCAAATTTAGATTAAATCAATATTTATGATGTAAATATAGCTAATAATATGAATGTGTACTATGGTTATATTTTTATTTCCAATTCTTTTTCTTGCTTTATGGCACATGTGCTTACCAGAGAGAGACAAGAGCGATAGAGGGAAAGTGAAAAATCACCCTCCCACAGTGGATGGCCACGTTGTAATCCCTTCTCTTTCAGTTTCCTCTTGACGTCTTGGGCACACATGCACACCCGCCTGGCATGATTTTCAAGTCACCACATCTGGGACTCAAACTGTACACTCGACTGTGTTGGAATCCTGAGCCTTAACCTCCATGCCACCTGCTGGTCTGACTATATTTCTTTTTCTGGTACAGTTATTTGTTCCTAGAGCTAATTGCTTTGTCTTTTTTTTTTTTTTCTGTCCAACTATAATGAAATCTCTCAAAACTCTCCAAGAGATTACAAAACTCCACCGAATGCTATTTCCCATAAGGTCCTTCAAAAACATCAATATTCTGTCATTTCAATTTTCCCAGAGATAGCTTTTTTGCACTCACTGTCTTCCTGGTTCAGTATATGTAACTGCGACCATCTGTGGCTAGATGCAGATATGTGAAGAACCATAAATAAACTGAAGCAATGAGGAAGAATGTAATACTTAGAATTTGGATTCATATTTCACAGTGAAATTTCAGTTGTTTTAATAAATAAGTTAAACCAAAGTAAATAAATGTTAAGAGTATAATGACTCAGATATCCAAAGAAGGTTGTTTCAGTTTAAGTATAAAAAGTTAGAAGAAATTGGACCAGCCAGGTAGCATTGGTGGTTAAGGCAGTTGGATCCCACATGACCAACTACAGTTTGAGTCCCAGACTCAGCACCTTGAAAAACATGCTGGGCATGTGTGCATACATGCCCAAAATCCCAGGAGAATAGAGAAGAAGGTATCACAGTGTGGTCATCTCTCTGGGGGGGTAGGCACTGGAATTCCCACATGGCCGACGATAGTTCAAGTCCTGGACCTGGCAACTTGCTTTCTCTATCTCTCTCTTTCTCTGGCAGAACTTATGTGAAATAATAATAATAACAAATAAATAAAATAAATAATTCTTGAAAAAATGAAAAAAGGACACTGAATCATTCAGGAGTATCATCTAACAGTAAGCAAAAAAAGCTGTCTAGAGACTACTTTTTGATGATTAACCCATTTTTTTGCAAAATATAATCTTAAAGAAATAATTCTCAAAAAAATAAAAGAATCCTTTTCAACAAAAGTGTTATATACAGAATACAAAAAGAACTAAGAAAATTAGACAAACAGTAGTTTGTTGGTGTAAAAACATTTCATTAAAAATTATAACAGATCAGGCCAGCAGGTGGCATGGTGATTAAGGTGCTGGATTCTCGCATGGCCAACTGCAATTCATATCCTAGCCCAAGCGGCTTGAAAATCACAGCAGATAAATAAATAAATAAATGTTAAAAAAATATTATACCAGATCACTGTATTACTTTATGTAATAAAAGTATGTTAATCAGAAAAAGCAGAACACAAAAGCATACAAAGGGACTTCAAAAAATTTGTAGAGGGAACCAGCAGTTAGCGTAATGGCTATGTGGCTGGACTCCCACATAGTCGACCGTGGTTCGCATCCCGGACCCGGTGGCCTAGAACTCACGCCGGGCGCGTGTGCGTGTGTGCCCAAGATCCCGAGAGGAGAATGGAGGAGAAGGGATTGCTGCGTGACCATCCCCCCTGGGGGGTGATTTCTCGCTTTCTGTCTCTATATCTCTCTCTGTCTGGCTGGCGAGCGCACGCGCCCTATAGCAAAAACCTCTCAAAAAAATTTTTTTTGTAGAAAAAATGGAATCAAAGTAATTTTTTAAAAAAGTTTAGAAATCCATGCAGTTTTTATCATAATGCACAGTTTCCAAGAACTTCACAAGGCCTCTCATATTTATAGTAATAGTATTAATTATGCCTAATGATCAAAAAGTGCATAAGACAGATTAATGGTTGCCAGGGGTAAAGGATGATTGAAAAGAAAGGAAATGAGTATAACTCAAAAGGGTAGCACCAGAGAGATCTCTGTGATAATGAAATATTCTGTCTTAGTTACAGTGATAGTTACAGAAATCTACACGTGTGATAAAGTGACATAGACTTATAGACAGGCCTTATATCAATGTCAGCTTCCTAATTTTAATGTTGTTAATATTATAAGTATATATGATGCAGACATTGTAGAAAACTGGGCAAAGAATACGTGGGGCTTTTTAATGCGACTGCAATTTTGCTGAATCTATCCTTATTTCAAATTAAAGAGTTTTTTTTAAGTTATTACCTTCTTATAAAAATTTTAGGATGCCAGTTTTAAAGGAGTGTTTTAAGGTGTTTGATTCTATGCTTTAAGTTTTAGTCTTTCATGTTAAAGTTGATTGAATATACTATTTTTTAAGTGCCACTGTATTTGCTTCATAAGTTATAAAATCAAAGTAATATAAATTTTGCTCAGGATTTTCTACCACCTACGTATTTCTTTGCTTTTGGTTTTTTTTTAGTACGTGCCAAGAATTGTAACTTCTGCACAACAGAAAGCTGGAAGGACAATTACAGCCCGAATCACAGGGAGATGTGATTTTGCTTCAAAAAACAGAATTAGTAGCAGTTTAGCTATAATGGGAGTTTCTCCTCCCATGAGCTCAGTCGTTGTGGAAAAACATCATCCAGTCACAATGGTGAGTCCACATTTGATGAACTTTTGTCAAAAAAGTTTTTCCTGAGAGTTTATAGAACAATTAAACACTTAATGTTGAGAAGGTAAAAAAATACATGGTGACTGGAAATTATTCGGCCTTTTACCATTGTAGTTTTTATGTGCATATACTTACCAAACCTCCTGGAGCCTACCGCTGCGTGACCATCCCCCCTGGGGGGTGATTTCTCGCTTTCTGTCTCTATATCTCTCTCTGTCTGGCTGGCGAGCGCACGCGCCCTATAGCAAAAACCTCTCAAAAAAATTTTTTTTGTAGAAAAAATGGAATCAAAGTAATTTTTTAAAAAAGTTTAGAAATCCATGCAGTTTTTATCATAATGCACAGTTTCCAAGAACTTCACAAGGCCTCTCATATTTATAGTAATAGTATTAATTATGCCTAATGATCAAAAAGTGCATAAGACAGATTAATGGTTGCCAGGGGTAAAGGATGATTGAAAAGAAAGGAAATGAGTATAACTCAAAAGGGTAGCACCAGAGAGATCTCTGTGATAATGAAATATTCTGTCTTAGTTACAGTGATAGTTACAGAAATCTACACGTGTGATAAAGTGACATAGACTTATAGACAGGCCTTATATCAATGTCAGCTTCCTAATTTTAATGTTGTTAATATTATAAGTATATATGATGCAGACATTGTAGAAAACTGGGCAAAGAATACGTGGGGCTTTTTAATGCGACTGCAATTTTGCTGAATCTATCCTTATTTCAAATTAAAGAGTTTTTTTTAAGTTATTACCTTCTTATAAAAATTTTAGGATGCCAGTTTTAAAGGAGTGTTTTAAGGTGTTTGATTCTATGCTTTAAGTTTTAGTCTTTCATGTTAAAGTTGATTGAATATACTATTTTTTAAGTGCCACTGTATTTGCTTCATAAGTTATAAAATCAAAGTAATATAAATTTTGCTCAGGATTTTCTACCACCTACGTATTTCTTTGCTTTTGGTTTTTTTTTAGTACGTGCCAAGAATTGTAACTTCTGCACAACAGAAAGCTGGAAGGACAATTACAGCCCGAATCACAGGGAGATGTGATTTTGCTTCAAAAAACAGAATTAGTAGCAGTTTAGCTATAATGGGAGTTTCTCCTCCCATGAGCTCAGTCGTTGTGGAAAAACATCATCCAGTCACAATGGTGAGTCCACATTTGATGAACTTTTGTCAAAAAAGTTTTTCCTGAGAGTTTATAGAACAATTAAACACTTAATGTTGAGAAGGTAAAAAAATACATGGTGACTGGAAATTATTCGGCCTTTTACCATTGTAGTTTTTATGTGCATATACTTACCAAACCTCCTGGAGCCTACCTTGGCTCTGTTAAGAAATTAATTTCAGGAACACTGTTTTTTCCAACTAGTGTAAAAATTAATCAAATACAAAAAAGTAATTGAGTTAGTGGCCAAAAGGCTAAAAATATATAAATGATTTTTCATTAATTTGAAGAAAGTAGGCCAGCCCTGTAGCACAGTGGTCAAGTGCGATGTGGAGTGAGTTCCCCACACAGTCAGCCGCTGTCTGAATCCCAGCCCTGGCAGCTTGATAAACATGCTAGGTGTGTGTGCTCCTGCCCAGGATTCTGGTGGGGGGCAGGGATGGGGTGAAGGAAAGGAAACCAGGGTGAATTCTCTCTTACACAAGCACATGCAAACACACTCTCTGGCATTAAAAAAAAAAAAAAAAAGAGGGAGATATTTAGATAGGTAAATATTGTTCACTTAAAGAGACAAAAAATTTTCACTTTGCCCAATTATGTAGCAAATATTTGACTACAAGTATACTCTCCTTTTTTTTATTTATTATTATTTTTTTTTAGGTTTTTGCCATAGGATGCATGCACTCACCAGAGAGAAGCAAAGTGAGAAATCACTCCATGCAGGGGATGGCTACATCCAGTCCCTTCTCCTGCAGTCTCCTCTCAGGATCTTGGGCACGCACACACACGCGCCCAGCATGATTTTCAAGCTACCAGGTCAAGGACTTGACCCATGAACAGCCATGTTGGAGTCCAGCACCTTAACCACCACATAGCCTGCTGGGTCCTTTGAGGAGGTTTGTTTTTAAGAGGCTTTTGTCATTGCTGTTGTTAAGCAAAAACTGTATCTTTGAGGTTTTGAAATACATACTAATTATTTTGACAAATATATGTATCAATAATTTCATTTCAAGTATTTTATAATTTTAGTTTTTTTTTCTTTATTCATGGTAGATTGTACATGAGAAGAGAGTGGGGGGAGCTCCTTCCACAGGGTGTGGTCCTGCCAGTCACCTTCCTCCAGTCTCCCAATCCTTCCTATCTTAGGCACTCACATGTGAGCCTGACTTGTTTTAGGCAGACTGGGCCAGATTCAAACTGCAGTTGCCATGTGGAATCTGGCTTTTCTTGAGCAGGCCCAACTTTAAGTATTTTTAAAATGACTTTTTTTTTTTTTTTACTTTGATAAAGGTCACATATACTCACTGGAAAGAGAAAGAGAGAGAGAGGAAAAGTGAGAAACCACCCCCCAGGAAGGATGGCCATGCCATAATCCCTTCTCCATTCTCCTTTCAGGACCTTAGGCATACATACATATAAACCTGGTGTGTTTTTCAAGCCTCCAGGTCTGGGACTTGACCTGCACAGTTGACCATGTGCTGCCTCAATCACCACACCACTGGCTGGCCCTAAAGATGACTTTTCTAATAGAAGTCTACGTGTACTAGTCAGTAACATGGACTGAAAACTTACCTGGATAACAAATCCTACCACTGGCTCCTAAGAAGCCGTGTTGAGTATAATAGAGTAATACTAACATATATTATGCATATGTGTACATGTAATATACACTGGCGTACATAATGTCTGTACCTATACATATTACATGTATAGACTGTGTCCTGCCTTGCTTCAGTGCTCACATGCAGGATGCTTGCTTGAGCCCTGAGGTCATGTGCATAAAAGTTTAGTCAACTCCTAGGTAAGCCAGGTGAAGTTTGAGGGCTCTCTTTATTTCAAACAAGGATCAAACTGGACCCTCAGGGTTTCCCCTATCCCCAGGATTGGCCTCCCCATGTATTAACAGGTAGATAGGAGGAAGCTAGATGGAATGAAGGGGTAGCTTGGGACCAATCCTCCTCTTCCAAGCACCACAAAGGTCCTTTCTGTACTTAGCCTCTGTAAACAGTAGGAGATTGCACTTGCATCCTCTTGAGGGAAGGCTCTTTTGACTTTTTTTATGATGCCCTGGAATATAGCTCTAATCGTGGGGGTTGAACACATCAGTTAGACTGGGTATGAGTTCCTTAAGGAGAAGAGCCTCATTTGTTTTAATGGCTATTTCACCCAACCCATGCCTTTGTATAGGAGATCCTTAACATTTGTTGTGGTAAACTGTAGATGTTGAAATGATATGTGATATATGTAATCTTATGGAATTGTTAAAACAGATTTTTGTCTTTTCAGCAAACCATTCCTCAGGCAGCTGCAGCAAAATATCCCCGGACCATTCATCCTGAAAGCAGTACCTCAGCTTCCAGATCTCTTGGAACTAGGACAACTCAAACCCAGTCTCTCACAAGCGTTCATTCCATAAAAGTGGTTGACTAAACTTACTATCTTCAAAATGAGGTCTTTTAATTCCTCTCATCTACCAGAAGTCTTTAGTTTTTAATGTTTCTATATTCTTAGAGCATCATGGGTACATTATGTTCATCTTCTCAAAATTACAAGAGACTTTCAAGCTATAACATCCTCTGTAACTATATGTAGAAATTATTTAATTTTTTTTATTTAAGCAATTAAGTAAAACTTTCCAAAAAATAAAAATCTGGACTTTATTTTTAATACATTCAGTTTGTCACTAATTATATCAGTGAACTATATAAATATTGTTTTCTCTACATTATTTGTAAAACACTAAATCATTTTCCATGTAGAGAGATACAATTTACATGAAACTTTGAGAGAGAACTGTACTCAGAAGAAATTACCAGAACCAGTAAAACTGTTTTGGGCCAATGAGTGGCATGGTAATTAAGGAGACTGAATCCCACATGGCTGACAGCTCAGTTTGAGTCACAGACCTAGAAGCTTGAAAAACATGTTAGGTGCATGTGTGTACATGCCCCAAACCCTGAAAGGAATGAGAGCTGGAGGAGGAGGGATTGTAAGATAACTGTCCTCCATGGGGTGTGTGTGTGGGGGGTGCTTTCTTACTTTCTCTCCCCCATCCCCACCTCCAACAAGTACACATGCCCTCTGGCAAATAAATTTAAAATATGAGACAGTTTTACCTTTATATTAAAAAGTTGAAGACCAAGAGTAATAATGATGGTACCATCACAAAGTTTTTTATGACTTAAGTGTATTAGTCTTCTTTTTTCCAGAACTCTTAATAACAAAATAGAGGGAAATGGCAACACCTATGAATCATTTTTCTGATGTTCGTTCTAGCCTTATTTGAAACTCTGCAGCATTGAACCCCCATTGTTCTCTCCAACCATCAAACACTGTCCTGTGCTGGTGTAGCCCGGGCAGCTCAGCAGGGCTCCTGGGCCTGGGCAGCAACTTCAGCCACCTGGGCAGAACTGATTGAGTTCTGGGACCCAGTTACCAATGGCTCTATTGCTGGCTGACTGGGCTATCTTGTACCACCTCATTTGCCTGGATCTTAGGATCCTCATGTGTAAATAAGGGTAAAATCTGCCTGCTTCACTAAGTACTTATTTACGTGGTACATAAAAACGATCTGGTTCTAAGAAATCTATCTAGGGCCTCAATTCCATATCTTTAACAGAAATGGATAGATTTAATGATCTAAAATCTCTTTCAATTTGAATATGATCTAGTTCTGTTCTAACTTTATTGTAAAGAATAGCTTTTCTTGCTGTCTCACATTGTTAACAGGACATCAGAGAATAAATGTTATATAAACAAATATAATCCTATTTTATAACAAGGCATTAAGACTTTTCTGAATCACAGAAGAATCAGGCACTTTTAAAAAGAATATTAGGTACTTATGCAACATTTATTCTGAGTTCTGGCCCAGCCACCATTGTGGGAAGCATCTCCATCCGCTCCATATGGCTTCAACAAGCTTTCCAGGAGCACAGACCAACAGCACCTCAGCACGCACCATATCCCTGGACGTGCTCCCCCTGCAGGACCGGCTTGTTAATGCCCAGTTGAGTCACAAACACTTAGAGCCCCCTTGAACAACCTAGAATTTAAATCCCACATACATGTAACATATTAATTACAAAAGACCAGAAGTACATGCATTAATATGTCTTTTACATTTTGGTGATACAATCACAAGTGATTTTTATTTTCTTTGTACTGAAAACCCCCTTGTATAGCCTAGTATCACCCCTCTGTGGCAAACAGATCATTCTTTTCTCCCCTGTATGAATTGTCCTTAGATGCTTAATCTACCCCATCTCTCAGAAGATAATACCCTTGATATCGTATAATCAGTTAAACCTGATACCAAGTGGTGGCCAGTTGGTGACTCACCCTCATTTTGTCTCTCCTTGCCAGGATCTCCCCTTTTTTCCTGCTCCTACTTGCCTGCATTTATAATACTGAAAACACCTGCACAAAATCTCTGGCCTTATACTCTAATTTTTGAGGAACCTAGACTATAAGTAAGAATGGTTTTCAGTATCCAAGTCAAAATCACATAGACAAACTAAAGTGATATTATGAATGTTACAGTTAAGAATACGGCCAGCAGGTGACATGGTGGTTAAGGCACTGGATGCCACCTTCCCTGAAACTTCACAGTCTTGAGTCCCAGACCTGGCAATTTGAAAAACATGCTGGGCACATGTGCATGTAAGCCCAGTCCAGAGAAGAGAATGGAGAAGGGATTGGGACATGGCCATCCTCACCTTGGGGGTGAATTCTCACTCTCCCTCACTCTGTGTCTCTCTGTCTGTCTCCAGAGAGTGCATAAATGGCAAAAATCTTAAAAGGAATATTGTGAACATCTTATCTAAGCTGTATATGTGTTATATATTGTCTAAAGCACCATGTAATTAGTGTCAGCCTTAATTAACATCAATTTAGTTACAGCACTAAATACAGCAAGAGTATGGCAGTATGTGTGACCACAGACCACAGCCTGGAGGCTGGGGGCCCCTGGGCTAGAGGGCTGGGAAAAAGAAATCATAGCATAACCAGCCCCTGTGGAAGATGCTCTCCTCATTTCTCTCACATTTTTACTCATGTGCATGCATGTGTTCTATCATGAATAAAATGGGGAAAAAAGTTAAAAGAATATTTGACTGTTTAGTTATTAGAAAGTATAACAGTATTACTATTTTTTCATCCATTAAAAAATCCTGTTGGGCCAGCAAGTAGCATAGTGGTTAAGGCACTGTAGTCCCACATCAATCACAGTTCAAGTCCCAAACCTGATGGCTTGAAGATCATGCCAGGCGCATGTGCATGCATCCCCAAAATCCCAGGAAAAGAATGGAAGAGAAGGAATTGCAGCATGGCCATCCCCTCTGGGGGCTGATTTTTCATTTTCCCTCTCACTGTCTCTTTTTATCTCTCTCTGGTGATCATATATGACCTAATGGCAAAAACCTTTAAAAATGTTTTTTCAGATAAAGATTCTGTCTCACCACCTTCATGGCTGAGAGAAAAATTAATACTTCTAGGAGAAATTTATGGCATTAAAGGAACTGGATTTAAAAGAACTGAATGCTGTATGGAAATCACTTTTATACAATTTTCTTTAGGTATTTATGAAACTGCACATTTCTTGGAGCTTGAGTCAGTTTTGCTTTTGAATTGATGAATCTTTACTGGAAAAAAGGATAACATCTATTATTAATAGCTCATTTTTTTAGCAATTATTATTTAATATATGCCAGCACTATTACCCACTTCATCCACAATGGCCCTTTGAAGTAGACATTTTATTTTCTTCCCAGTCAATAAATTAAAACACTGACTAGTGAGGCCATAAAACTTGCCCAAGATCATACAGCCAGTGGTGGAGTTGAGAGCCAAGCCCACAATTGTGCTTCAGAGCATGTACCCTTTACCACTTCGGTGGACTGCATCTTATTCTTCCCGAGAGTTCATAGGGGCACTCTCAGAATAAATGTGGGAAGAAGCCCAGCAGTACGAGGATAATATCGTGGAAGTTAGCTATAATGCATCCTCTATTCCTTGTCTCTACCACTGCTTGAAACATTCAACTCAGTTATGTTCTCAGCACCTTACAGGTAAAACGGCTTCGTTGACAATAACGGCAGATACCCTTATGTTGTACTTGAATGGTTGATATTCCATGAGAGGTAGAATGCCATCTAATTTATTAATAAGTTTCCAAAGTTATCTTTCTCTGCTATATGGTTGGTGATTCTGGCTCAGTAATTTGCAGCAATAACCTCAGCTGGCTCCTTTCTCATAACCTGGAGGTAACATTTTCAAATGTACTAACTTGCAATTTCCTAACAGAGGCAAATGGCGTTTTGAGCATGATGATTCCCAGTGGTGGAGAAGGATTCTATAGCCATATGAGACGGTTTAGCACACCACACCTACAGCCACCCACACGTCAACAAAACACTCCCACATTTTCAAATGCCAGTAGAGGGGGGTGACACTGAGAACCGCATGCTAAAACATGACCAGCACTGATTGGGTCACCAAAAGACAAGCTACTTACTTACAAGCCCCTGCCATAGCTCCATGTGTTTGTTTGTTTGTTTTTCTTAATTGCTTTGTCATAATCCTACCTCAGCCTCCCCAGTCTCCAGATTACAGCCTGGGGAGGTTAAGAATCCAAACCGGGCCTCCCCTGTGGTTTCTGGGACTCAGTGTTTTAGCAGCACGCCAGCCAAAAGGATGGGTGGAACTCCTAATTCTATGAGCCCAGCTAGCACCAAGCTGGGACGGCTGCAGTTGTCCACTGCCCTCTACCATCTTAAAGGAGAAAGAGTTTCTACCTCTGTTGAAAACTAACTCACCAGCTAGTTGTGGGAAGCCCGCACGCACCAGTTCTTCATACAAGTACCTGGCTGGATCAGCCTGTGTCTGCAGGGCCCCATGCAGCCAGATCAGCAGAGCCCTGTGCCCGTGCTCCCGGAAGCTGTCTTTTCCTGTGCCAAACACAAGTGGTTGGAGATAAGACCCCACGAGCTGAAGGCTTTCTGGAACTGTGAGCTCAGTTCTAACTCTGTCTTCGATATGGGTGTGGTTATACTTCCGACCTCTTCAGATGAAGCCCTTTCACTTCTCCTTGTGCTGCTTTGTTATGACCAGTGTTTGGATCCTGTTCAGTCCTCACCATGCACCTACTGTGAATGATGGCACACCAAAAGGAGCAGGAGAACAGGAACTTGACGGGACCAGGCCACTGTGCAGTGGCAGCAAGCAGATCCACCTGGGAGGCCTCCCTGAGTACGCCAGCGCACCTGTGCGGGTGATCCCGGATGGCTGAGGCTAGAGTGGATCACTGAGACCCTGTAAGGGAAGCCTCTCTATGTCTCTGTCTCTTTATCTCTCATAGAAGAAATACAAGAGAGAGATTAAAGAGCTGGAGCCTGCCTAATGGTAGCCGACATGTTCATGAGCTATGGAAACTTTCTCCTGTGTCCAGGCAGCACTGCCACAGACCAGCACTTCTGAAACTCAAATTACATCTCTCACCAGGACAGTGTTAACAATGTAGGTTCTGATTCAGTAGATCTGGGGAGAGAATCTGCTGTCCAGCAAGCTCCTGGTTGCTGGGGCTGAGGCTGGTCTGTAAAGCACACCCTGAGCAGTAAGCAGTGGCCATACCTCCTTTCAGGCACAAGGAGGCAGCCTACATGCCGGGTGAGGTTACTCCTGCGGTAAATGCACCCAGCCCTGACAGCTGCTGGGACTGGAGACAGAAGCCATGGTCACACAGGAATTCCCAGTTGGAGAACAGGCTCTATGTTCTGTGGGAGAGGGTGCAGGAGCAGACAGATGGCAGGAAAAGGAGGGCCTGAGCTGGGGGAGGAAGTCACTGTGTAGACCAATGAGAGGGGCAGGGGCTTCAGGAGAAAGAACTGCATGCATGAGGAAAGCACTTCTAAGTGAATCTTCTGCTCCTTTCCTAATCTTGCTCTTGATAAACTATTTTTTCTTAAATACCACCATCAATGTGTCAGTCATTTGCTCCAAAGCCCACGAACTCCCTGGTGCCCTTACCCTGGATTAGAATGTAATTGGATTGTGAATATTATTGTTATCATGCCAAGTAAATTATAAACTCCATCAAACCCGCACATGGTTTAAAGAGCTGATGTATCTCTCACCCACAGAGATAAACACACTCCAAGAACTCTGTACAGATCTGACTGAAACACTTTAAAGCACCCCTTGTCCTGCTGGGAGGTACTCTGAAGGTACACAACACTTTAAGTCATTTCTTTAAGTCATGAGAGTTCCCAGGAGGCAACTCAGTTTTCCTAAAGACTTCACAGAACACTATATGCCTAATTAGCAACAAGGAGAATTTGTTTTGTTTTGTTTTGTTTTTCGGTCTTTGCTATAAGGCACATGCACTTGCTGGAGAAAGAGAAAGAAAGTGAAAAATCACCCCCCACATGGGGCATGGCCACACCACAATTCCGTCTCCACCAATCTCCTCTAGGGATTTTGGGCATGCACACACATGCACCTGGCATGATTCCCAAGTCGCTGGTCTGGGATTTAAATTACACAGCTGGCCATGTGGGATCCAGAGCCTTAACCTCCATGCTACTGCTGGCCCAACAAAGGAGAAATCTTAACAAGAGGAAAATCTTTTCAGAAACTAGTCCTTCAGCATTTCCAATGCATTATGTTCCATTTTTCACATGAAAATGAATCCTGAGAATTAGCAATAAAAATTTCCATAATTGGGTCAACCTCATATCCCAGTGGTTAATGTAATGGATTCCATATGGCCATCTGCAGTTTTAATCCCAGCCCCAGAGGCTCAAAAAAAAAAAAAAAAAAGGTGCATATGCATACATGCCCAAAATCCCAACAGGAGGAAGATGGAGAAGAAGGGATTGCAGCATGACCATGCTTCACTGGGAGGTGGGGGGGTTTCTCCCTCTCTCCTTGTCTCTCTGTCTCTGGCAAGCACGTGTACCTTCTGACATTTAAAAAAAAAAATCCCACAATTTACTCATATATGTACAAAGTAGCATGTGCTGCTGAGTCTGTGGTTCTGCCATCTACAATTCCCAGCCATCCCCAATGCAAAGCCACCTCTGAGTGTGGGACCACTTTCTGTCTCAAGATATCATGTGATAGGAGTGCTCCTAATAGAGAGCCTTGCCCCCCCCCAAAAAAAGTATTTATTTTTATTTCTATTTTTTAAAATAATTACTTTTTTATTTAATTTTATTTATTCATTCATTTATTCTTAATTTGAGCAAAGAAAGACACAGAAAGAGACAGAGGGAAACTGAGAAAGCAAGCCACCAGGTCCGGGACACCTGACTGATATGGCTCAATAAAAGCAATCAACCTTTGCAAACTTCAGTTGATGCAGATTCTCATGAGGGTTAGTTTTCTGCAAAGGTCCCAATCACCTGTTTGGACCTTGGCTGACTGTCCCTGTTCCTGGGGACCATGGAGTCTTCTACTTACTGTGAACACCAGGTACTTACATTAGTTCCCCCTTATCCATGGGGGTTACCTTCTGAAACCCCATAATGGATCCTGGAACAACAGTACCTAATTCTATAGATACTATGTGTTCTCCCTTACAGGAAGCACTTTACGGTTTCTCTTTGACATATCCAAATTGCCAGCATTGTACACTTTGGGGCCATTATTAAGTAAAATAAGAGTTACTTGAACAAAATCAGATAGTCTGATACAGAGATGGTTACTCAGTGACTAAGAGGCAACATGGAGACACTGGACAAAGGAATAATTCACATCTCAAATGGAAGAGCGCTACGCTACTCAGAATGGCACACAATTTTTTTTTTATTCATTTGTTTAATTTGACCTGAGAGAGACAGAAAGAGAGAGAACGAGAGAAAATAAGAAAGCAAGCCACCAGGTCTGGGATTCGAACCATGGTCGGCCATATAAGAGTGTCCAGCACCTTAACCACCACACTATCTGCTGGTCTTCCCAGAATGGCACACAATTTAAAACTTATGAGTTGCTTATTTCTGGAATTTTTCATGTTATATTTTTGGACCCTGGTTGACTATGGATAACTGAAACTTCAGAAAGTGAGACCACAGGTAAGAGGCTACTGCACTCTGAAGACCTGACCCCAGAAGGGCCAGCTGTTCCCAACATAACTGCCTTCTGCCCCACACCGTGCAGTCCAGCTCACCTGACCACTGCTCCTCGATGGCTCTGATCTGGTCATCAGTAAAGTTCCATGAACGGGCGAGCATCTGCCACTCATTGGCCTTCAGCTGATGGTAAGCCAGGTCCCAGAGGAACGTGCGAATGTGCCTGGTCTCTAGGCTATGATCCTGCTTGAACGTCAGTGTAAAGCTGGTCGGCGGGTCCCTGTCGCTCTCCTGATGCTGCTAGGTTGAAAATAACTATATGAGAAGATTGCCAACATGCTCTACTTACTGCCTTATTGCAGAGTATGTGTATTTTTCATATATAACCAGTAAGGTGGCAATCTGGACTATTGTTTCAGTGTTGTCTGTCACTGGATCACTTTCGGTCAAATGTCTGAAAAAAAGGCTTGAATATCAACTGTTTGGCAGAGGAAATGTGAGGAATTTTGCAAGGTTGTGTTCCATACTGCTGACCAATATTTGCCCACCTCAAAAGGAAACAGAGAGGCTTCTTGGTGAAGGAAATGTCACAACAAATCCATATTTAATGATCTCTCTTTCAACTGATGTATCTCTCGCTTCTCATGGGTGTTTGATTTTCTCATATGGAAGCTTAGTGGGGCCCAGATTGGGTGTACCCTTAATTAGAGACAATAGCTGGTGCCTTGATTCATCCTGTTATCTGGTGAATGTGAGGAGAGCAGACGAGAGCCCAACACCAGGTGAGGTGTGAGGTGTGAGGGCAGGTGTCAGGGCAGTGGAGAAACAGGAGTAGATATAACTTTGTTCTAAGCCACTGCAGCCAGACTCAGCCCAACACATTATGCCTTGTTTTCTACCTTTTCAAAGATTCCTTTTGCCCCTTCTGCAGAATCCACCAGAGTCCTGCAGTATCAAACCGAAAACCGGAGAAAAACTCAGAGTGAAAAATCGATGTTACAGCTTCCTAGATCTGTGTGATATGCAAGTGCCATTAGTGTTCCAGATACTATTCCTACAGAAGGTGGAAAATCTAAGGACTCATAATTCTCAAAGATCAAGACTTTTTGATCTAAACTCTCCTGTTCTTTTCGTGTGTCTAGTACTTTTCTATTTTTGTCTTTCATTTAAATAAAAGTGAATCTAAATTAAAGATGTTCTAAACAACAAGATGAGAGTCAGCACTGGGACAAGAACAGGAGAAAAGGCCCTCAGGCCCTGGTTTTCCAAACCTATGAGAAGAATGTGGTCCTTAGCCTGCATCCATGGACGAGCCTGCATCCATCACAGCATCAACAACGTCCCCCAGTTTTGTTCCCATGGTGCCTTGCTCCCACGAATCCCTTCAGAGTTAAGGTCAAGGGCAGGAAGATTCAATAAACTTGGGAGCTGTGGGCACTTCACTTTGTCTTTTTTCCCTCACTCCATCGCCTAAAATAATAATGACTCTAACAAGATCAAAATACCGAACACCTTAAGGTAAGTGGAACATGCAACATGCCTCCGCATTCATCTTTTCACTATAGAATTTTTTTCTCTTTGAGAAATTTGCATGCTTTGTGCATGTCAGGCTTGGGCTAAGTAACCTTTCAGACTTCCACAGGGAAGGGCAGGGGATTTGGAAAACCCAAGTCTTTTTAACAGTCAGTGGAAGCATTAATTAGCCTATCTGCCAAAGTTTTGAATCATCGGAAAAGTCATGACACAGTTTTGCATAGAAAAACAGAAAAATACATCATGACTTTTCTCACAACACAATACTAATCCATTTATAGAAGTCATACAAGCCAGAAGTGTTGGAAATGAAAATAACATCAGCCAAAAAAAGTTTATTTTAAAGATTTTGCTATAGCGCATGTGTGCTCTCTAGAGAGCCAGATGGCCACGCCACAATTCCTCTCAGGTTTTTGGGCATGTATGCACACACACCTGGCATGAGTTTCAAGCCACTGGGTCCAGGGCTCAAACCACGGTCAGTCATATGGGAGTCCAGCAACGTAACCATTACACCATCTGCTGGTCCCCATAAGCCAAGTTTTATTTGCTTCTGTACCACTGGGCTTAATGATGAATGACTGAGTGACTAAACTACTGGATAAGTGAATTAAAGAGAAGAAATTTAGATCATTCTTTAATTTTTAAAATTAGGAACTACTTTATTTATTTTAGTTTGCTATAGGCCACCTTCACCACCACACGACTGGCTGGCCCAGGAGCCACTTTATATTAGCTCAGGATATAAACTTGTTTAATGAACAAAGAGAATTTAAAATAATAATAAGTCATTTGGTTAAAAAAATTTTAATAATAATAATTTTAAAAAGAAGTGTTTCTCCTATCCCAATCTTTAGGGTCCAGGTTGCCACCAGGGTTAACAACAACTACCATTTCTGGGTCTCCTTCTGCTACATTTATGTATTATTCATGGTTTTCAAAATTTAACTCTTACATATTTTTTTGAGAGGTTTTTGCTATAGGGCATGTGTGCTTGCCAGAAAGACAGAGAGAGACAGAAAGTGAGAAATCACCCCCCCAGGGTGGTTGGCCATGCCACAACCCCTTCTCCTCTAATCTCCTCTCAAAATCTTGGGCACGCACGCACACATGCCCAGTGTGAGTTTAAACCACGGGGTCCAGGACTCAAACCACAGTCGACTACATGGGAGTCCAATGACATAGCCATCATGCTAACTGCTGGTCCCAACTCTTACATATTAAAGATGTGTTAGGGAAGATGGCTAATTCAGTAGGTAGAAAAGTAATTTATTTTCAGTTAGCCAAAAGAATCTAAAAAGGCTACCAATCATTAAAAATAGAATCAATGAATATTTCCATTTTCAAAGAAAATTTTAAAACAATAATTTAAAGAACAAGAGGACAGATGGGACTTGGTAAAATTGTCTTCAATAAAAGACAGTGATGATTTATGAAAATGAGCACGAGGATAAACAGAAAAGGATGAAGAAAAAGAAGGAGAATAGAATATCCACAAGAGAAAATCCAAGAGGAACGGGAGGAGAAAGGAGAGAATAAACAGAACTGTGACTGTTAAAAAATGTTTTACTTGTTTTACAGGCAAAACCACTTTCTGTTTGGTCTTGTGTTTTGCTTTTTGTTTTACAGGCAAGGAAAGTTACAAGGAGAACCAGGGAGAATGGCAGTGAGTGTGTAAGCATACGTGTGAGTGAGTGCGTGAGAGGGCACATGTGCAGGCATGTGTGAATGTGTGTGCAAGTGCCTGCAGGGACTCAGAGGTGAGTGACTGGGACTCTCCTGGAGGAGCAGCCACAGCCACGGCAGGCACAGGGGGCCACGCGGTTCCTG